ACCTACAATAACTCTTTCCTTTCTAATAAACATTGACATCCTAAAAAGTAAAATCAGGGATAACTACCTTAAGCATGCAATCCAAGAAGATTTCTTGATGTCTAAATATATTGGTGAATTGTCTTGACATTCAGCGCCGCAGCAGTTTATGACTTTTACCCCTAACAAATCTCTTCAGACAATGGCAAGGATTCTGGTCTTATTGCATTTGATTCTAGGCTTCAACATCCCCCCCTGCCCTCAACCCCCCCAAAAAGCAAACAAACCAGAGGCATTTGCCTGTTGACAGTGCTCACTAATATACTCCTCCCCCCCAAAAAAGGTGGGCAACATTGGGTTAAAATTGAGTCAAGATCGCAATTCTGTTGTTACACTCACTCTTGCCCTCACTCATTCCCTCATCGCGACAACATATGTGGTTTTGCCTCCTACAGGAGGCCGTCGCTGAAAAAACTGTATATGTATATGTATATTTAAAAGATGTAAAAAAAGTATAGGAGCAACTTCAGAATACCCGTCCACCTCATTTACATGTGTCGGGAGGCTTTGAAGAATGAGGCATAACACAATAGACATTTCTTATTTAATGACATGTAAATAAGTGGCCGGGTACTTTTTTCCGATGTTCACTCTTGCAAGGAGGGGAAAGAAACACATTTCCACGAATACTTGCACCTGTTTCTAGCTGAGGAAAGCCTGTAATTAATGTAAGTCAGAAGTAACCTCGTCAAATTCCTTTTTCTGTTTCAAAAGGGCACAGAAACCAGGTTGACCTGGGGCTACTCTCTATGACAAACCGGAAGACATCATCTTGAAATGTAGGTCTTACCCCATATGTTGATAACGACCCTTCAACTACTAAGCTCCCAATTAGGTTTCGCTCCAGACTACTCTCAGTCGCCTTCACTCAAACTGCGTGGTTACATATGTATTGCACCATCTCCGAATTTCGAAGGTGCAAAGAGAAATATGGAGCACCAGGTGCAGAGAGCTCTATGTAGTGTAGGTCTTACTTCTTAAAGTTAATGCGTATCTTTGACTGCTATGGCTCAGGTTGTGAAGTACAGTTTTACCATTCTGCATTTCTCGTTCTCAAAAATGGATGATCATGACTCTAACTGTTTACGACCGGAAGAAAATTTTGGAAATACAAACAACGGTGATGTGTTAGGCAACGAAGGAAGAAAACTCCTGAATGCCTGTGTGAAGGTCAAGATATACGGCAAACCAGAAACACGCAGATATGACCGAGAGACAGCATTAAAGCGGCTGGAGGGTTGTATTAAGCCAATGAAACCTTCTGGATGTTATTCATGGTTGTGCATTAACGAGCTCTTATTACCCACTGAGGTTGATCGAAATGGGAATCGTACTGATTATAACGAGACATACACCATTGCTGATATTCATGCCGCACTTGTAAAGCTTGAAGACATTCCCTTTGTTGAAAAATACCCCAAAAGAGGGCCTGGTTCGGAGGAGACGAGGGTGTTGATCGATAAACGAAGAGATGCTGTTGAAAGAGAGTTGGAGGAAGCTAAAGCTAATCCAGATGGAAGACAGAGGTATTCTTTTACGGTTGCACAGCGTAGAGTCAGGGATTGCTATGCTAACAACTTGGCAGGGAATTTTTCCACCATGCGTCCTCATATACCCATGTCACGTACAACCACATACAATATTAAGGCTATTTATGAGGCAGTTAATTTCCGCAAAAGACAATGTATCGAAACAAGCAGTTTCTCGGATGGACCTGTGTATGAGAAAATACATGCAAGTAGGGTTAGTATTGAGAGAGAATATGAGAATGCTATGGCTTCTACTGACACTGCTCACAGATACAACAGAGATGAAGCAGAGGAATGTTTGAGGAGTTGCTACTGTAGTACAGATGATCCTTTTCAAGGACGTCATGCTGTATTTCGAGGGGAGGTTGATATTTTTGAACTTCGTAAGGCACTATGCCTTCATGATGAAAGCAGAACACTACCTTATAAATACCCTGAAAAAGGGCCTGGATCTGAAGAGCTAAGGAAGTCAAATGAATTGATGAACACAGAGTCAAGTTGAAAGAAGAATATGAGACTTGTTCAGCTTCTCATGCTATTGGACAGAAACCCCATGAATATTCCCGCTCTGAGGCAGAGCACAGAGTGAGAGACTGTTTTGCAGGTAGGTTTGAGTTTAAGTCTCCACAGTTAAGTCAAGGATTTACCAAAAAGTAACAAACTTATAGACTGTGAGCTGTCCCTCCTTTTCTGCAAAGTCTGTCACAGGAGTTAAACAAATATCTGTGAAAAATGTTGAGGTAACCATGCTGCAGGAAGCTCTTGGAGTGATGCCAATTCACCACAGGAGCTTTATAAGTGAGGTGCTCGAAAAGAAGGGACTACAGACCAAGCCCAAGATTTTGACCTAGCATGGCTGAGTGGTTTTTAGCTGTCAAATTTTTAATCTCTTTTAGGGGTAACCAATGAGATTCATTATCTTAATTACCAGTCAATCTTCATGTCTTCATGTCATTGCAACTCACAGGTGATCTCAGAAAATAAAACCATTCCAAATTTTAAGGTGCACAATTAACTGGAAAACTGTAGATTGTTTCTGTCCGTAAAGACAGCTCTCGCAAACAAAAATCCCAAGAAGATAATTAGGACGGGCAGGCCGGTGAAGGAACCATTGCAGAAAGACTTTTGCCACAAGTGTGCTTTGAATTTGTCTTGAGAGATAGCATTCATGTAGTCTTTGTCCTTTTCTAATAAGTGAGCTGTTGGAAGGCCAAGCTTGTTGAGTTTTCCCACTTGTTCCACCAAGATGCTGTTAGGTGGTGAAATTACAAGGACACATGTTTTGGAGATTTTTGCAAAGCAAAACCCTTGGTATATAACTCTCTTTCCAAAGTCTGTTGGCAAAATTGCAAGAACTTCTTTGCCAGCTATAAGATTTTATAGTGACTCAGTCTGCTCTGATTTCACTGAATGAACTGTTGGAAACTGCAATGTTTCAATGTTCCAGAAAATATCCATACCCCCTATGGAAGGGATTTGCCGTATGACCCCTCTCCTCTGGATTTTCCGAAATTGGCCCAAAATTAACCCCCCTCCCCTCCGGAATTTCCTAAAATTTCACACACCCCTGGAAATATTGCTATCTCTTATTGAAGGGAACATATAAGTAGTTTTTTTCACTAGGATGCTAAATTTTGTGAGTTTCGTGTATTTTTTGTTGAATTCCATAACAAGTAAAGCAAATTCCTTCTGCGAATTCCTGATGTACTCGAGTCACAAACAAATTTTGAGTTTCATGTATTTTCAGCTTTTCTGTTCAATTCTACAACAGATCAGCGAATTCCTTATGCCCTCGAGTTACGAAGAAATTGTTGACAAAATTCTTGGCCACAGGCTAATGAAATGTAAGATCGCGTAGGAAATATAACTGTACTTTCTCTCACTACATCAAGAAGAAAGCAAAGAGATCAGGACCTCATCGCGCAATCAGACAGTGTGAGTATCGAATTTGGCTCTACCAAATTTGCATATTTGAGTTAGCGGTAAAATTGCTCGTCGCTGATTCTATTGATAATAAAATTGTCATGCAAAGTTTGACGTGCTGGAAAAGACTCGTGTAACTTCCTTGTGATAGAGAAACAGTCAATTGCAGGAGAATGTAACCAATTAAAAGTTTTTTTTTCCATGTTTTGTGTTCTCGAAAGTTTTCGTTCCGCTGGCTAGAAAATAAACTACCAAAGCGTATAAGATGAAAGAAATACTATTTATTCCTCACCCGAAAGGTATCCATTTGATACAATTTGAACAACAGTTTAAAATCTGGCACTACCCAAACTTTAGAACTGTTTTGTGAACTGTTTTCTTGAAGCTTGGCCTAAAGACTTAAAAATGTGTTGCCGGAGGTATCAGTCCGGTCTTTTTCACGTTAAATGGATTATTGTTCGTGCCTTTGCGAACTGATCACAAAGTTGTTCATGAACCATGGGGCAGGTATACTTATTTAGCTTTAAACGGAGATTATTCGGAAAGTGTTCTTTTGTTGCTCTACCATCACCTCAAGATAAACGCCACTGCCGAAATGCATTAACGTGAACCTGCGGTAAAAGTGAATATCCTTTACAAATAAGAACTAGTGTGACTGAAAACTGAAAGATAAAAGATTTGCAAAAAACAGCGGACAAACACCTTTGTAATCACTACCATTCCGATCGCGTGAAACATTTTATTTTGATGTTTTTAAATGAGTTTCAAGTAGGTCATAAATCACTCATGCTTTGAAGGATAAAAGAGATTGACTGAACATAAAATTAATGTTTTTATATAAGTTTCAAGCAGGTCATTAATTGCTCGTATTTTATATCTTTGCAAATAAATTGTCATGTTAAATTTTTGTGTTTTTTCTTTGTTACTCTCTTATGCGCCACAAGAACCCTCTGGAAATATTTTCCTATGGTCACCCCCCTCCCCTCTGGAAAATTAGCAAATTGACCCCCCTCTCCCCATGGAAAATCCAATCCCTTCCGTGGGGGGGTATGGATATTTTCTGGAACCACACAATGAACATTCTTGCAGGTCTTCAGCCATCTGGAGTGTTGACACATATGACAGCTTTTTGAAAGATTTCTAGCAGATAGCCAATCATATTTTTGTATTTTGAGCGCAAGGCATTGTTCAAACTCTTGGGCTTAGCCGGTAGGTATCCGGTTAGATCACACGGTTAGATCACACCACGGTTAGATCGCACCACAGTTAGATCGCTCCCAGTTAGATCGCTCCATCTGAAAGTTAGATCGCCCCACTCGAAAATTAGATCACTCCATCAAATAAGTTACTTCGCTCCCAACATAAGTTACTTCACTCCATGTGGTAAGCTTTGAGACATGCATCCAAGGTCTTTGACCTCTGGGATCAATACAAGTCAAACCAGAAATCTGCCAGACAGCTACTCAAAGCCTGTTCCTTCCTGAATGGTCCTGATTAAACACAGCAGCAGACAACAGAAATGCCACCAAATGACCAACAATGACTATGATTGCTTTCAAAGAACCGACACTTTTAAACATTGTTAAACTCAGACCCGAGCAAGACTGGGTTCAACTTCGGTTAAAAATGGCGACTCTTTCTTCGTGTAACTATACTCTTACTTATCCATTCATTGTCCATCTGTCTTTTATCAACTTTCTACTTTAATTTACTACATGGAGCAAAGCAACTTATTTGATGGAGCGATCTAACTTTTGAGTGGGGCAATCTAACTTTTGGATGGAGCGATCTAACCATGGAGCGATCTAACCATGGTGCGATCTAACCATGGTGCGATCTAACCATGGTGCGATCTAACCATAAACCAGCCTGTAGTCTCTACTTTTCAAGCCCCTCACTCATGGAGCCCCTATAGCGCATGGGTGTCACTCCAAGAGTTCCTACAGCACTCTTAACAATAATTTTTTTCTACCGCCTTTTTTTGACATGCACAACAGACTTCTCAGAAAAGGAAGGACTGCTCATAGTCTCGTGGACTTGTAGCTGCAAATACAATTTTTAAATCATAGTTTTTTATCAGAGGGAGTAAGGGAGGGGGGAGGGGGATGAATAAAAGTGATACAAGATATTTTTAAATGTGTTGTAAGGATGTACTACACCAGTTGATTTATTGATACTGTCTTCTAAGTTGATTGATAGCTGTCTAGAAGTCTCAACCATTGTCAAACTCAATGACATCCCAAAGGTGAACTTTAGATAACTTGCCACTGGGTTTTTTGCCAAAGCCATTTGCTTCAAGAAATGAAAAAGGACTAATTGATTAAAAAGACGACAAATAAGTAGCCAACCAAGAGATTCTAGAAGTTCTTCTTCTCTGCAGAAGATTTTTTGTCTTTTTTTATTTTTTGAGAATTTGTTTTAAAATTAATGAAAATGAACATGGCATGGCAATAATTTCTCTTGCGTATTGTTTGTCTATAGTTTGGTATACTGTCATGATTAAAGTAAAGTTTAAGCCAGTACTTGAAAATTGGTGGTTGGCTGAGTAAATTGTACTATTATCCACAGCACTTGCACCTTCGTGAATAAACTTCATGGCCCCCCAACAATCCAAGCAAAAGCTGATTGTGATTGCCTGCAAGTACAATAAGACTGATAGCAAGCTAAAGACAGAGAACTTACATCACCCTTTGACCCCATAAGAATGACAAGGATCTTATTTCTCTGTACTGTATTACCCTCAATCATACATTAGGAGAAAATGATCACCAACCAAAGAAGTTCTTGATTGTTATACAAATTCCCCTTGTTAGCACCTTAGTAAAGGAATGGAGAACGGTATGGAGAATATGCATCATGATGTTAGGGTGAAATTGGTTAATTATAGCAAACTGGAGCCAAACAAACTGGTGTTAATGAGGTTATTTGCATTTATGTAGGCATTTAACTTGCATTCAGCTTTGATACAAGAGATTGGTTTAATTCTCTCTAGGTACTTTTCAAGAAGATGATGACATGTTTCCCATAAAGAAAGATCAGAGTGGAATGCCAAGGTTTTACCAAACATTTGACATCTTTGACATAAAACAATCTATTGAATATTTTGATGCTAAAAAGTTCTTTAACGTGCAGAAGGACGAGCAGATTCTGAAGAATTGAAAAAAGAGGCTGATGAACTAGGAATAGTATCTAAGAAGAGTACGAGGTGGCTATTGATGAAATTGAGCATGGCTCTGGATTTCTCATCAGCGACCACTTTATACTCAACAACAAGCATGTGATTGAAACCTATCTAGACGATGAAAATAGTGTTATGCAATTTGCATTTCCAATGCAGCCATTGGTGAGCTGCATTGTGAGGTTGCTCACAGTGATTCTGGTAAGGATCTTGCTTTACTTTATTGTCCAGCCCTTAATTTGCCACAATGTAGAATTTCTCCAATGCAGTTGTCAACCCAGCCATTGCTGCTAGGAATGCAGATATTTTCATTTGGTTATCCCATGAGTGACACAGAAGAAAGTGCTCTTTTGGTGACTGGGAATGTCTCTGGTTCCAAGAGGAACCCATCAGGCCATTCAATGGCAGTGCTAAACTGCTCACTAAATTGTGGCAATTTAGGTGGGCCAGTTCTTTCTTGGGTTAATGGCCAGGTAAGGGTAATTGGCATTGCAACTCAGAAACATTTTAAACAGATTTTAATACTGGATGAATTGAAAAGATTAGAAAATCATTACAAGCCTATGCTATTAATGATGTGTGAGATCATAATGTAGGTTATCTCTATATTCATGGTACATCACTAACCCCCTATCAGGTTTCAATACATCTACTCACATTGAAACTGTATGATGCTTTGGAAACACATTCTCAATTCAATTTAAGTAATGCATTGCCAGGAGATGTAGTGGTTGAGTTTATCAAAAACTTCATACCTGAATACAAGGGAGAGCATAAAGAAGAGTTGGTCAAAGTAATTGAATGGTCTCAATCAAACATTTAATATTCTTTGCAGATCCTTCTTTTTGATTATGTATCTGATTTTTTAAATATTGTTATTTTTGGACATAATTGTATATATATATATATATATCTTATTAACCAAGTGCGAAGGCCCTACTGGGAGAATATTGGCCTGAGGTCTTGACAGTATGGACCTCGCTGCGCTTGGTCCGTACAAAAAAGACCGAGGGCCGATATTCTTCCGGTACGGTCCCAAGCCAACTTGGTTAATAAGAGATTTATTATACAACTGAAGTTCAAAGGGACACAAGTGCGGTATCATTTGGGACCATTCGGGACAGTGCTCAGTCCAATACTGAGAGAATATTGACCGGCAATAGAGCATTTTGATTGGTTGATTTTAGTTATTGGCCCTCTGACTGCCCGAGTTGTGTAATAAAGATAGGTTACACTTTCCCAGGAATATCAAGTCCAGGGGTTGTGATTCAGTCTAAAATAGATCAAGTACTCATACAGCTTTAAATGTAGGTGTCCTGTGAGGTCTGGATACCTGTCCAGAAATGTTTGTATTGTCAAACAGGCCTGCTACTGTTAATGATTCATAGTTATTCTCTGCAGTTGGTAAAGTTATGTTGTAGTTTTTATCAATTCTCTCTCTCAAAGAGAAATTTAATTAAATGATGATGAATTGTGTGAAGAAACTATTAACAACTATTCACCAAAGTGGAGGTGGTTAGTGGTGGATATTTACCTCGCGGCCTCGCAGCTCGGTAAATATCCACCGCTAACCACTGATACTGAGGTGAATAGTTGTTTTAGTAAATACTAAAACAGTGAGGTAATATACACCACCAAAAATTAATTTGAGTGATTTCTTTGCTTATCACGAANAATTGGTTAGAGCGCCAGACTGTTGTGCGGGAGGTCAAGGGTTCAAGCCCTGGCCAGACCAACACTCAAGGTCATAAAATAACTGAGAAGAATGTGCTACCTTTCTATAATATCAAAAAATGGATAGACATTCTTATCTTCCCGGATAAGGATGAATAAACAATAGGTCTCGTCTCCCGCATCTATTGATTAGTTAATTTGGTTAGGCAAGGGATGTTGAAGAACCTACTTACGAGGTTACTGTGGTGTAGTCCGCCCTGTTTACTGGGAATGAGTGGGGGGTGGGGTGTTAATGTGGGATCCACTGTAATTGGCTAAAGCTGTAGTGGTCTCCCTGCCTGAAATAGTTAGGCAAAGCTAAATACATGTAAAAGTCATTGTTGCACAAAATTTTCAGCACCTTAGGAAATGTATAGAGAACAGTATGGAGAATATGCATACCGATACGTTGGGTTGTGACAAGTTAAGGCAAACTGGAGCCAAATAAATCAACTTTCTACTTTATTCATTTAACTTTCATTCAGCTTTGATGCAGGAGATTGGTATAATTCTTTCCAGGTACCTTTCCAGAGGATGATGACATGTTTCCCTTAAAGGAAGATGACAGTGGAATGCCAAGGTTTTACCAAACATTTGACATCTTTGACATAAAACAATCTATTGAATACTTTGATGATAAAAAGCTACTTGAGAAATATCCAGAAGAAGGAGCACATTCTGAAGAATTAAAAAAAAACGTTGATGAACATAGGAATAGTATCAAAGAAGAGTGGGAGGAAGCCGCTTCTATTAATGAAATTCAGCATGGCTCTGGATTTATCATCCAAGATCACTTTGTACTCACCAACAAGCATGTGATAGATACCTACATAGATGATGAAGACAGATTAGAAATTTGCATTTCTAATGCAAAGATTCAGGGCCTGCCTTGTGAGGGCCTGCCTTGTGAGGGCCTGCCTTGTGAGGTCCTCCATTTTGATCCAGGAAAAGATGTTGCATTGCTGTATTGCAAAAATCTTGATTTGCAACATAGTTGTATATTTCCATTGCAATTATCAGTGCAGCCATTGCTGCCTGGAATGCAGATATTTTCTTTTGGTTATCCCATAAGTCACACAGATAAAACTGCTCTTTTTGTGACTGGGAATGTCTCTGGTTCCAGGGAGACCTTATCAGGTCATTCCTTGACAGTATTGAACTGCTCATTAAACCATGGTAATTCAGGGGGTCCAGTACTTGCCTGGGTTGATGATCACGTTACTGTTGTTGGCATTGCAACACAGAAGCATATTAAAGATATTTTAACACCAAATGAAAGTCTGACAATTGAAAAGATAAAGAAATCCTTGCAAACGCGCACAATTTCTGATGTACCAGGCCATTTCTTTGAAGGAAGATACACTTGGACAGAAATTCCAGAACCTTGTCAAGTCTCAATTCATCTGCTCACTTTGAAACTGTATGATGCTCTGGAAACACACTCGTCATTCAATTTGAGTAATGCATTGCCAGGAAAGTTGGTGGTGGAGTTTATCAAAGATGCAATCACTAAATGTGACACAGAGCAGAAAAAAGAGCTGAACAAAGTACTTGAAACATTGAGATGAATTTTTTTTGAAACTCTAGTCAAGGAATACTTTTCAAACCTATTTTAATAAGAGATTTATTATACAACTGAAGTTCAAAGGGACACAAGTGCGGTATCATTTGGGACCATTCGGGACAGTGCTCAGTCCAATACTGAGAGAATATTGACCGGCAATAGAGCATTTTGATTGGTTGATTTTAGTTATTGGCCCTCTGACTGCCCGAGTTGTGTAATAAAGATAGGTTACACTTTCCCAGGAATATCAAGTCCAGGGGTTGTGATTCAGTCTAAAATAGATCAAGTACTCATACAGCTTTAAATGTAGGTGTCCTGTGAGGTCTGGATACCTGTCCAGAAATGTTTGTATTGTCAAACAGGCCTGCTACTGTTAATGATTCATAGTTATTCTCTGCAGTTGGTAAAGTTATGTTGTAGTTTTTATCAATTCTCTCTCTCAAAGAGAAATTTAATTAAATGATGATGAATTGTGTGAAGAAACTATTAACAACTATTCACCAAAGTGGAGGTGGTTAGTGGTGGATATTTACCTCGCGGCCTCGCAGCTCGGTAAATATCCACCGCTAACCACTGATACTGAGGTGAATAGTTGTTTTAGTAAATACTAAAACAGTGAGGTAATATACACCACCAAAAATTAATTTGAGTGATTTCTTTGCTTATCACGAATGCAAACTGGGATGCCATTTTTTACCGAGTTGCTCGGAGGTAAATAGCAAAGGATATTTGAAGTTTGACTAGGCAATCAGAGAATGCCTTCAATGCTATCTGTTGTTTTAGTGTATACTAATACTATTTAGTATAATTTCAGAGCTGAGCAAAGAGTTTCCAGCAATCTGATTGGTCGAGCGGTTCCTTATATGACGCTATATAAACCGCTCTGCGCGGTTTATATAGAATGTTAAAATAAAATGTTAATAAATGTTACTAAAATGTTATGATTTTAGACCTTTCTCTGTTGTTCAGCTCCGAAATTATATTAAAACAATTATTCGCCTCAGGTTCGGTGAATATTGTTGAATAATCCCCTCGACTTCGCCTTCGGCGAATAATTGTTAATTATAGAGATGATTTTTTAAACTATCAACAAATATTGTGAGTAATATGTAGTAATGGTGTTTGGATTTTTTACAAATTAGTTGTAGGATGAGGTAATTGAATTGTCTCAGTGGATCAATCAAACACAAATTTGTTTGCAGGTCCTTCTTTATGATAATATATCTGATTTTTGTAAGATTGTTGTTGTTAGACAATCTCTAGTTAAAGATGAGGAACAATTTTTCAGGGATAGGCCTATGTTTGGATTTTTTAGAATAATTGTAGGGTGCCTTGAGGCTCTTGAAAAAGAAATGTTTTTGATGTAAAACTGGTTCTTTATTTTGTTCTGCAACTCAAGCATCGTTAAGCAATAGGTCACACTTACTATTAGTTTCAACAAAGTAACCCAGGCAGGAAGTTGGGAGAGCACCAGTAAGTCAGAGGCAAGTGATTCACAAACTCTCCTTGGGGGGGTGGGGTCTTTTCCCAACATTCCAAGTGGGTTATTGTGGCAGTATACTAGTAGAAACTACAGTTTTTTGCTTTATGAAATAAAATTAAATGTGCTATGGGTTTACTGGCACAGTAAATGATATTTTTTTTTTACCAATCAAGGCACTCACAGTATTTCTGTTATTTCATTGAAATGTGTAGGACTATTTTCATAGTTTCATACTGGCACAATAAATGATTTTTTTTTTTACCAATCAAGGCACTTGTAGTATTTCTGTTATTTCATAGAAATGTATAGGACTATTTTCATAGTTTCAAAATCTGAGTGTAAATTTTATATCCTTGCAAGATATTGCTACATATGAGTGATAGACTTGTACTAACTTGTTTATCCAAATTACTTTCATCAATCTCCTCGTTCCAAGCATAGTGTAACTAGCCATTTTTTATTTTAAGAGGGTTCCATACCTTGGCAATGGAATGCGCAGGGAGAGGGGTAGTCAAGTAGGCCAATTATTTGATAAAATCATATTTTAATACAGCTGAGGGTTTCTTGTGTATGAGATCAAGTCCTTTACCATAAAATGTGCACATATCAAGACAGAATTACTGTATTTATTCACTTATAAGGTGCACTCAGTTACAAGATGCACCCTAACCTTTTGAAGACAAAGAATTCCTATCACTGAGAATTTCATACCCAACTCAAAAAACTTAGCCTGATGGTATGAGGTTCGTTAAGACATTAAAGTGAGCTACACAAAACTGCAAGATAATACCTACTTGTTTTTTATAGTGTAAATACACTTAGTTACTAGTAAAAAAAAAATTCTCCCAAGCTAGTTTTCAGGAATTAATCCGAAATAATTAACAATTATTCACGAGCGCGCGTTGGATATGAGATGATAGATAGCCAACGAGGCGCGTAGCACCTCGTTGGCCATAATCATCTCATATCCAACAAGCGCGAGTGGTTAATTGTTAATTTATAGTTGTGTAGGAGAGCACCCTGGGAAAGAGGAAGATACTTATTGCGCGGCTACCAAGGTATTGCACCATTCCGAGCACAAAATTCTAACAGAATAACTTAGAGCAGCATAGAGAGCGAAAGATTTTGTGAAAGCCTCAACACCCGTTTACGAAAAAACGTTATATTTCTACGCTGTTACTTCTCCCTTTTTGCCTACTTCGTTATTACGACCAAAAGTATGAAAGAAAACTAGAACTGTCAATGAAGTGTAGAGCTCGTTGCAATGGGCTCTTATTTCTCCACTGAATCTCGACAAGACACAGGATTTCGAAAAGAGGACAACAATGATGTGCTAGGAAACGAAGGGAGAAAATTTCTGGATGCCTGTGTGAAAGTCAAGACTTACGGCAAACCAGAAACACGCGAATATGATGGTGGACAAGCACAGCAGCTATTTCGGGATTGTTATGTGGATAAAATGGAAGGAGTAGCGTGCAAAGAATTTCCGCCAACCGAACCCAATAATGATAACGCACGGAAAACATACGACGTCGTCGATATTTACAACGCAATGGTTAAGTACGAAGACATGCCCTACGTTCAAATATACCCCAAAGAAGGACCTGGCTCGGAGAAGATGAGAGAGTTGATTGATCAACGAAGGGCTGACGTTGAAAGAGAGTTGGAGGAAGCTAAAGCTAATCCAGATGGAAAAAAAATTTATTCCTGGATTGTTGCACAACGCCGAGTTAGGGATTGCTATGCTGGAAACTTTCCAGAAGATAGATTCGCGAAGCCATGTGATCCTGAACCTTTCAGCATCAAGGACATTATAGATATTGTTGGTATGCATGATGAAGAAGCCATTGATATATTTAGTGACCAAAGAAAAACCATAGATGAGAAAGCCCGCTCACACAGGGCTGACATTCAAAAGAAGTACCAAGATGCTCTTGTTTCTCCCAGCACTCTCTACAAATGTAGAAGGGAAGAAGCACTAGAAAGTATAAGGAATTGTTACTCTGTTGCTGATGATTGGATCCCTTTTGATGATACTTGTTACACATGTACACATTACCTTGTTTTTTGTAGTTTTAGACTTTATAATATAGTCTGCAAGAAAGATATCAGTTTGCTGCAGCTTTGCAAATATCCTGCAGAAGGACCTGGTTCTGAAGAGCTGAGGAATTCAATTGAAAGACACAGGGCTGATTTACAAAAAGAGTATCAGAACTTTTGTGACTGTGAGGAATCCCGCCTGCCACATGGTAAGTATTCACGTGAAGAAGCAGCGCGCTGTGTGAGAGATTGTTTTGCTAGTGGCATTCCTGGGGATAGTGATGTATTTCCCATAAAGAAAGATCAGAGTGGAATGCCAAAGATCTACCAAACTTATGATATTTTTGACATAAAACAATCTCTGGAATATTTTGATTCCAAAAAGCGTTTTGAAAAGTACCCAGATAAGGGACACATACCTGATGAAAAAAAGAAACATGTTGATAAACAGAGAGCACACATTCTGAGTGAGTATAAGATTGCCACTACCGATGCTGAAATTGAGCACGGTTCTGGATTTCTCATCAGCAACCACTTCATACTCACCAACAAGCATGTGATTGATGATAAAGATAGTTCTGCAATTTGCATTTCCAATGCAGCTATTGGTGAGCTGCATTGTGAGGTTGCACACAGTGATCCTGGCATGGATCTTGCATTACTTTATTGTCCAGCTCTTCATTTGCAAGAACGCAGCATTTCTCCATTTCAGTTGTCAACCCAGCCATTGCTGCCAGGAATGCAGATATTCTCTTTTGGTTATCCCATGAGTCATACAGGAAAAACTGCTCTTTTTGTGACTGGGAATGTCTCTGGTTGCAAGGAGACCTACTCAGGTCCTTCATTAACAGTATTAAACTGCTCATTAAACCATGGCAATTCAGGGGGTCCAATTCTTGCCTGGGTAGATGGTCAGGTAAGGGTAGTTGGCATTGCAACACAGAAGCACTTCAAAGATATTCTGACATTGGAAGAAAGGACGACAATTGAAAATCTGAAAGAATTTTGGAAAACCCAAACTATTCCTGATATGCAAGAGTGTAATTTAAAAACCCCCTTTCATCCTATTCTTTATAAACATATCCCCAGCCCCTATCAGGTTCCCAGAATCCCCAGCCCCTATCAGGTTTCAATAAATCTGCTCACATTAAAACTGTATGATGCTTTGGAAACACATTCTCAATTCAATTTGAGCAATGCATTGCCAGGAGTTTCAGCAGTTGAGTTTATCAAAAACTTCATCCCTAAATACAGGGGAGAGCACAAAGAGGAGTTGGTCAAAGTAATTGAATTGTCTCAGTAAATCAATCAAACAAAAATTTGTTTGCAGGTCCTTCTTTATGATAATATATCTGATTTTTATGAGATTGTTGTTGTTAGATATAATTTGAAGTCAAAGAAAAGAAAAGGTTTTTTAGGAATATGCCTATGTTTGGATTTCCTAGAATAATTTAAGGGTGCCTTGACGACCTTGACAAAGAAATGTTTTAATATAAAATAGTTTATGCTGCTTGAGAATGGTCCAGTTAAGTTTCATAATTTTTTACAACTCATACTTAAGATTCTGTTTCAGAGCAGTTCGATGAATTTAACATTAGAAGCATAAAAACTGTGAAGAAATTTTGGTATTACATTTTGCAGGGGTAAAAACTTTTGTTTGTAATGGTATTGTCATTTGTTTTTTAGTCTACTGCCTTCTATTCTATTAAAAAGGCAAAGTTTAGCTTACAGGAGAACTCGAGGATTCACTAAGGTTGTTACTAAAATAGGTTGCCCAGCAATTAAAAGCTTTTACAAAGGAAGTTAAACAAGTCACCAATAAACAAATTTATCATGTGGGTTCTGCCAGAGCACAACTTTTTTAGAAATGTAATTTAGTTCACATATATCACACTATTTTGTAATTCCTTCTTAATCTAAGATGTAATATAGATTGACATACCAGCATTTAAGTTGCTTTTTCATCTTGCTAGTTGATGAGGACAGATTTGCTGTGTAAATTGTAATGGTCAAACAGACAAGAGAAGGCCAGAATAAATAATGTTGTGTGACACTATTTTCTTTCTTTTTTTACCTGGTTTCAGGCAAGTTAGTGTTGTGGTGTCACATTTATGTAGCTATGACTTGTGTGTGTACACTCAACTGTGAAGTTGTCCACTTCCCCTGTAGGTCTCTTTAGGGCCAATATGAATGAATGAAGGAATGACTTAACACTGTTAATAATCCCAACTGGCAGGAGGCAGACCAGTTGGCCACCAAGGCAAAGTCAAGGAGTTGAATTTGGACGACCAAGAACAAAGGAACAAACCAGGAAGTGGCAAAGCTGTAGGGCTTAACCCAGCACTACCCATCTACAAGACATGCACCTTCCTTGATTTTGCAATTAATTTCATCAAATGATTTAATGTTGTAGCCCTTTTGGGAGTCATTAAAATTAAAGCCTCAAGAGTTTTATCATTTGAGTAAGAGAGAAAAATTTGTATTTACACAAGTTTATATTCGCATCTCCAATAACAATGTATTAAGGCAGTTTTTAAGATATAATTTCCATGGTGGAAATTTAAGATAAATTCTATAAACACCAAAGAGTTCCAAACCCTGCTTACCATGTAGTCCATTCAAAACATCAGCCTCCAACTGAATGACAAATTTCATAACACGTCTTAGTCTAGCCCATTGATCATGTACAACAACACAAAAGTTTACAGTTCTTCATCACTTCTCTGAGAGAGAACTTACCAGCACAGAACAAGAAAAAGTGTTCTGTTAACAGTTATCTTTTATTCTGTTGCTATTGATGCTAACATATTGAAATTACAAATTTTGTCAGGGTTATGAAATTTTAAAGCAGCTTTCTAAGCCCAGAATCTAAACAATGATTAATCAGGGCTCTGAACTCAATCAAAAGTTATAAAACAGTTTGCTAGAACTAAAAGTTGCCCCAATTCCCTGGCAATTGGTTTTGGAGATTCACGGGCAAACCAATACAAAAAGCCACATAAAAAAGTTTACACAAGGTGCTTTATTTCAGACCTTCACAGTTATTTGTTCACAAAATAAAATTAGCACAAGCACACAACAGCCCTTCCAGAAAGCCATTCACTAAAACTAATGGCAGGAATTGATCACTTCTGGATCAGGTCTACAGTTTACAGGGCAAACAGGATTAAAAATGCCATCATCAAGCAGAAAAGACCCATAGCTTCAG